ACATTGTTTTGCAGGTTGAGAGACACATTTCACTCCTCATCTCATTGGGCAGGCTCACGGCTCGAGACTGGACAGGCTGCACGCCACCGCACCGCTACATGGTGGCCCCACCACCGCCTGTTCGGATTCCTCGGGCCAGAGCTGTTGTTTGGCTTCAACCTGACTCTCCGTGGGTCAAGCTGAACACTGATGGCTCATTTGATCGCCACACTGGAGTTGCCGGAGGAGGAGGCCTGATTCGAGACCATAGCGGCGCCCTCATCACTGCTTTCCACGCGTCCATTCAGGCCTTCTCGAGTTACGACGCAGAGATTCAGGCACTACAGATTGGCCTACAGATTGCTGCCCACCTCTCTAGTCATATATGGATCGAGCTGGATGCTGCGGCTGTCGCCACCCTCCTGACTTCGGGCCATCAGGGCTCGTGGCAGATTCAGCACCCACTTATGCGCATTAGAGATATACTTCGGTCAGTCCACCACAGGATTACGCACATTTTCCGCGAGGGGAACAGACCTGCTGACTACCTTGCTAGCCTTGGTGCCACCATACCCGATATACATACGTTCCAGACCGACACTGCTCCACTCCGCCTTCGCACGCTTGTTCGGATGGATCAGCTTGGATATCCATCTTTCCGCTTTCAGTAGATTAGGTTTTCTTTGTTATCATTTCAGTTTATTAGATTCTCATTTTCTTTTTCGGGCACCTGTTAGCCCAGAGACAGAGTTTGTATTTGTATCGCTAGTGAGACATTGTAGACTGTTGATATTTTGACCCCCGTTTTGGGGTCTTGATCTATGCACAGGTTGGGGATCCAGCCCAATCCCCCGCCCTCCCGGGGCGTTATTTGTTTTAGAAAAAAAAACCTAGCAACTACAGACAACTAACTTAGCAACTACAGAGAACTAACCTAGCAACTACAGACAACTAACCTAGCAGCTACAGAGAACCAACCTAGCAACTACATAGAACTAACCTAGCAACTACTAACCTAGCAACTACAGAGAACTAACCTAGCAACTACAGAGAACTATCCTTGCAACTACTAACCTAGCAACTACAGAGAACTAACGTAGCAATTACAGACAACTAACCTAGCAACTACATAGAACTAACCTAGTTAGAAGGCTAGTTGTCAACGGTCAACGCCGGAAGTCAACGGATTTCGCCGAAAGTCAATGGTCAATGCCATAAGTCAACGGTCAACGCCGGAGTTAACGGGTCAAAATAATATTTAAATAATTAAAATAATAAAAAGAAAAGATTAAATCTTGGCCACACATGATGTACCAAATCTTGTGGCTAAAAATGAGTCTCACGTCCTCACTTTAAATAAATGGATGCATTAGAACCAATCCTTATATATATATATATATAAAGATTATAAAGATATAGATATAGATATAAATATTAGATATGATTGCACAGTATGTATAATACGGTTAGAAAGTGGAACTAAAACAAATTTAATGCAAAATGTTAGAGGTATACCGAATGACATATTTTATTTATAACCCCCACTAATTTTCAAAGAAAAAAAAAACTTGTTTTATTCTACATACAGAAAATAAGAAAAGAAAATATGTAAAACGACTATAGACGACCTACTATTTCTCACACCACAGTCAGAGATATCTCTCTCTCACTCTCTTAATGTATACAATCACTGACCTACGTCCATTTCGAACAGAATATCTCTCAGACTCTCACTCTCTCAAAGGCCAACCTCAAGAAGATAGAAGAGTAAGCTCATCGAATTTTAGCTTCTTCTATGGAACACCTTTTTTTTATAACAACATAATATGAATATATTATAACTAAACCCCTCAAAGCAGATCACAAGTTTCAATATTCAAGTATAACACAGCAACATGTAGAGCAAAGCAGAAAAATAAACATAGATGAAAAATTAGTGAAATCTACCATTATTAACTTCTGCGAACAAGGAGATTTGCAAAGAAGAACACGAGAGAGGAAGAAAGAGAGAAAGAGAGAAAGAGAGAAAGTTGCGATGAAAGAAAACAATAGAAAATTATTAATGAAAAATTAGGGTTTCTGTATAAGCATTGGGTATTTATACCCTTAAACTAAAAACACTATCAACTAAAGTTGTTATTCACAAAGTAACAACTTAACATACATATTAGCAACTTATTTAATAATACATATTATATTATAATAAAATGACTACTCTAANCCCCCCCCCCCCCCCCTCCTCGCAAGTGTGATGATTTTATGGCTGATCTTCTCTCTGACGAGATGGCAGTCGATTTGAATGTATTTTGTCCTCTCATGGAATACTGGATTGGATGCAATGGCAATAGCAGATTTGCTGTCATAAAAAACAACTGGGGAGGGGTGGATTAAGTGTAGATCTGCAAATAAATATAATAGCCATTGTATCTCACATGAAGTGGATGCAAGGGCTCTATATTCAGCTTCTGCTGAAGATCTACTTATAGTAGATTTTTTCTTTGATTTATAAGATATAAGAGAATCACCAAGAAAAACACTATAACCAGTTAAGCTCTTTCTAGTGTCCAAACATCCTGCCCAATCACTGTCACTAAATGCATGTAAATCCAATTTTGAAAGCGTTGAGAAAAGTAATCCTTTACCTACAGTGCCCTTAATGTATCTAAGTACTCTATGGGCAGCTGTGATGTGTGTTTTAGAAAGATTGAACATGAACTGGCTAAGTATGTGGACACTATAGGCTAAATATGGTCTAGTGATTGTTAAGTATAATAGTCTGCCTACCAGTCTCCTGTATTCTGAAGCGTCTGTGGGTTCTGATGAATCTGAAGTGGAATTTACTTTTAAAAGGGGGTCCATAGGTGTGCTAGCAGGCTTGCAGCCAAGAAAACTTGTGTCTTTTAAAATATCAAGTGTATACTTTCTTTGACACATGTTAATACCACAGTCAGAATGGGCAAACTCAATGCCTAAGATGTATTTCAATGTGCCTAGATCTTTGATTGTGAAACAATGATCTAAATGAGATTGGATGGCAACTATTTTCTCAATGTTGTTTCCAGCTATGATCACATCATCAACATAAACAAGTAAGGCAATAAAAATGTTGTCATCAGAAAGGGTAAATAAAGAGCAATCAGCCAAAAATTGATGAAAACCATAGGAAATCAAACAAGTAGTGAGTTTGTAGAACCATTGTCTTGATGCCTGTTTTGAGGCCATAAAGACTTTTGATTAACCTACAAACTCTTTTATCAGATTTGGCACAATATCCTGGGGAAGGTTTCATGTAAACCTCCTTATCTAGATCCCCATGCAAGAATACATTATTGACATCTAATTGTTGGATTGTTCATTTAATGATAGATGCTAATGCAACTAAGAACCTGACAGTAGTGATCTTGGCTACAGGAGAAAATGTATCAAAATAATCTACACCTTCCTCTTGTGTATAACCTTTAGCAAGTAATCTAGCTTTATACCTTTCAATACTACCATCAGATTTGTATTTTATCTTGTCTACCCATTTGCAACCAATGCAATGCTTACCTTTAGGAAGATCTGTTAAATACCAAGTATTGGTTTGTTCTAATGCATCAGTTTCCTTTATCATTGCAGCCTACCAAAGTGTATCTTTAGCAGCTTGAGTATAAGAAGTAGGTTCAGTATGTTGAAGTAGGTTCAGTATGTTTTGAAATTGCTGCAGTGAAACAGGAATGTGATTGAGATAAATTTGTTGTGGACAAATAGTTTTGAATGGGATAAGGGGTTGTCCCGGAATGAGTATGTTTAGAAGAAACAGAGTTGGAACATGGTTTAATAGTGTGGTAATATATGTCTAAGTAGGCTGGAATTTTATGTTGTCTGTTTGATTTTCTGGTAGGTATATGATAAGTATAAGGAAGTTGTATAGTAGAAGGAATCTGTATAGTAGATTGAGAGGGTTCAGAATTAGTGGGAATGATGGGAGAAAGGTTTAGATGTGTTGCAGGGTTTTGAACTGTAATGTAACGGGAGAGGAATTGGTAGTTGGTAAAGTATGATTTGTTTGTGTGTTAGTAGTTGGTAGGATTGTGTTTGTTTTTGAAAAATGGTACAGGAAACAAAGTGTGTGGATCCCTAGTATTGGAAATGGCAAAAAGAAAAGTTGTTTCATAGAACTGAACAATTCTGAATCCTCAGTATTCTGAATGATACCATATTAACTTCTGCAAACAAGGAGATTTGCGAAGAAGAACACGAGAGAGAAAGAAAGAGAGAAAGAGAGAAAGTTGCGGTGAAAGAAAACAATAGAAAAATTATGAATGAAAAATTAGGGTTTCTGTAAAAGCATTGGGGTATTTATACCCTTAACCTAAAAACACTATCAACTACAGTTGTTATTCACAAAGTAACAACTTAACATACATATTAGCAAGTTATTTAATAATTCATATTATATTCAGGGGCGAATTTACATTTATTTATAGGGGGGTCAAATTTTCATTTTTTGTACTATTAATATTAAAAAATTTAATTTGCTCCCTCTTCAAATTTATTTTTGCACCCCCAGATTTTTTGTTTTTAAACGTCACTCACCAGCCAACTTGTCTACAAGTATCAATTAACAATTCAACACTTCTTTTATATTACTATTAATTTTGTATATTAATTATTATCATTCTACAATTTTAATCGGCCCATATAAAAGACTTCAACTCTCTTTTATTGCCCATTGATTTTTTTGACCGAAAACGGGAAATCGAACCGAACCAAACCGATGAGAAATAAACCGAACTGAACCAATTTATGTGTAACGGTAACTGAAAATCGGTTACCGAAATGTTATCGGTTCTAAACCCATTATGTTATGTCTTTTGCCCCCTCTCAACTAATTTTCTGGTTTCGCCCCTGATTATATTATAATAAAATGATGACTGGTCTAATAACCATTTTCATCATCACTTAGCTCATATTCAGTCTGTAAAGTCCATTCTTGCAGAAGCTTGCTTAGCCTAATTCACAATCTTTTCAGCCTCCCTTCAGACCCTCTTCTCTTCCTCCATGGCCTTCTCCATCATCTTCCTCTGACTTTTTACAGAAAAATTACTCAGGTCGGACAAAAGCTTATCGTTTTTTTCCCAATCGAGCCTCGAATCCAAACCCCTGTTCTTCTTCTTCTTACTCGACGGCGCCTTCTTGGGGGAACACATAAAGAAGCCGCCTTTCGCCGGAGGACGAGGACACCAATTTCCTTCTCCCCTTCTTCATTTTTCTCCCATTCTCCTCCAGGGGTGAAAAGGGGCTCCCGCCGGAGATGGTTGGGGAACTTTTTTCTTCTGGGAATGTCGTTGAACCTTTTTTGCCGTTGCCGTTGGAGAAAAAATCGTCCATTTTTTTTTATTCTATTTTTCTTGGTATTTTTTAGCGAAAGAAATGGATATGCAGAGGTTTTTGTCTATACATAATATTGACTTGATGTTTCATGTTTTTTCATGTGTGCCAGGTGAACTTAATCAAAAGACTTGATGAATTATTTCAGCTGGAGGAACACCCCCGGTCGACTTCCACTGCCAAAGAATCCAGTGTCATTCGAGACTCATGTTTCTCAAAGTAACATTGCATAGTATGTCATTCCTTTCTATATAGTAATATGTAGATTTTATATTTTTTTTACCTTTAAGGTGAGTCAAATTTTGCATATTTATTAATCACCTATCTAAATCTACCGATTATTATTATTAATGTTTCTCAAAGTAACATTGCATAGTATGTCCTTTTCTATATTATATAGTAATAGGTAGATTTTATATTTTTTATGTTTAAGGGGAGTCAAAAGTCTTTTTCTTATGAGTCAAAATTTTCTTTTTCTAATTCTAAGTAAATACATGTTCAAAATAGGATTCAAACAAGGTTGAGAAAAACTTAGTGCTTACTACCCTGCATCGGCCCAATCCTCGACCTCCACCTCATTCCGAGCACGGCCTCGACATCGTCCGCGAACGCAACCTCGACCTCGTGCACCACCTCATACTCATACGTTCAATAATATCATCTATTAGAATCCATCTGAACCCATTATCTGAACAATCCTCTCCCCACGATTTCATAATTTCGAAATACTCAGTCCCGTTATGCGATCCATAGTCCGTGAGGAGACACACGTGCACTGAGATTTGCTCGTGTGGATCCTCGAAACCCCCTTGCCTACCGCCATGTCCCCGTCGACCACGACCCCGTGCACGTCCACCACGACGACCACCTCTAGGCCGACGCACATAGTGATGTCTACCAAAACTAATTTGATTTCGAGACAAAATTCTCAAACTCACTCTCACTCGAATCAAAGCAACTAACGAGGTTCTCCCCAAAGCAGATCTGAGTCCCTTAGCAAAATCGAATACCTCCCCAGATGGTTCAGCTGACCGATTCAAAATGTAACCTTGCAATTTCTTCACTACCATTAGGCTATGATCATATCGTCGCCTCAACATAAATTTCTCATGATTGTCAGCATCCCATTGGTCTTCCGTTTCATAATCTTCCTCGAAAGCTAAGCCCACATCTTCCAAAACATCCCTTATCTTAGCATTGAGCTGAATGGTATCGAATTGATGTATATCTACATCGTTGCATTCGGGCACAGCGTCCATACCATGTTAATAAGAGACGGCGATAGTCGTCTATCTCCCTCAGTTTGACTTTCATATAGCTTATGTGAGCATATAGCTCACATACAACAGAATTTAAAACGATATAAAAAAAATTAAAAAAGTTGACCGACCATAAATTAATTAACTAAAAAACGGGGTAAAAGTTTGTTCATATAGTCTTATATCAATATATTTTATTATATTTTGCTTTTTCAAAATGATATGATTTTTAGATAATTAATTTATGGTCGGTCAACTTTTTAATTTTTTTTTTTTGTGTCGTTTTAAATTCAGTTGTATATGAGTTGTATGCTCACATAAGCTATATGGAAGTCAAATTGAGGGACATAGACGATTATCGTCGTCTCTCTATTCAACATGGTATGGACGTCGTGCCCGAATGCAACGATGAAGATATACATCAATTCGATACCATTCAGCTTAATGCTAAGATAATGGATGTTTTGGAAGATGTGAGCTTAGCTTTCGAGGAAGATTATGAAACGGAAGGCCTATGGGATGCTGACAATCATGAGAGCTTTATGTTGAGGCGACGATATAATCAGAGTCTAATGGTAGTGAAGAAATTGCAAGGTTACATTTTGAATCAGTCAGCTGAACCATCTGGGGAGGCATTCGATTTTAATCAGGGACTCAGATCTGCTTTGGGGAGAACCCCGTTAGTTGCTTTGATTCGAGTGAAAGAGAGTTTGAGAAATTTTCCTCGAAACCAAATTAGGCTAGGTAGATATCACTATGTGCCTCGGCCTAGAGGTGGCCGTCGTGGTGGACGTGCAAGGGGCCGTGGTCGAAGGGGGCATGGCAGTAGGCAAGGGGGTTTCTAAGATCCACACGAGCAAATCTCATTGCACGTGTGTCTCCTCACGGGCTATGGATCACATAACAGGACTAAGTATTTCGAAATTCTGCAATCGTTGGGAGAGGATTGGTCAATTCGGGAGGATTCTAATAGATGATATTATTGAACCATATGAGTATGAGGTGGTGCACGAGGCCGAGGTCGAGATTGCATTCGCGGACGATGTCGAGGCCGCGCTCGACAATGAGGTGGAGTTCGAGGATTGGGCCAGTGCAGAGTAGTAAGCACTCAGTTTTTCTCAACCTTGTTTGAATCCTATTTTGAACGTGTATTTTACTTAGAACTAGAAAAAGAATTTTGACTCAAAAGAAAAAGAATTTTTACTCAATTAAAAAAATATAAAATCTACCTATTACTATATAATATAGAAAGGAAGGATATACTATGCAATGTTACTTTGAGAAACATCAATAATAATAATAGGTAGACTTAGATATGTGATTAATAAATATGCAAATTTTGACTCACCTTAAAAGTAAAACAAAATAAAAAATCTACATACTATATAATATAGAAAGGAATGGCATACTATGCAATGTTACTTTGAGAAACATGTGCCTTGGATGACACTGGATTCTTTGGCGGTGGAAGTCGACCTGGGGTGTTCCTCCAGCTGAACTAATTCATCAAGTCTTTTGATTAAGTTCACCTGGTACACATGAAAAAACATGAAACATCAAGTCAATATTATGTATAGACAAAAGCCTCTGCATATTCATTTCTTTCGCTAAAAAATACCAAGAAAAATAGAATTAAAAAAAATGGACGATTTTTTCTCTAACAGCGACGGCAAAAAAGGTTCAAAAAAATTTCCAAAAAGAAAAAAGTTCCCCACCCGTCGCCAGTGGGATCCCCTTTACACCCCTGGAGGAGAATGGGAGAAAAATAGAGAAGGGGAGAAGGAAATCGGTGTCCTCGTCCTCCGGCGAAAGGCGGCTGCTTTATGTGTTCCAATTAGTTTCGTAAATTCTTTGTTTTAAATAATAGAGAACCTTGAATACTCATACCAAAACCCATTTCTCCCCAAATTGATAGATAGATTACTTGCAAAAAGTGTTGAAAAAGTTTATCATCCTAGAAGCTGAAAATAGAATCATAGGGTAATCATGTTTGCTAACAAGAGCAACTGATACAAAAATGAATTAGTGTAAAGAGAGTGTTGAATAAGTTGTTTACATGCTCATTTGTTAAAAAAGAAAAAAAAAAAAGAACTTTCTCCTCCCCATAAAATTGGAATTTGAAAATAAGACGCTACCTTCAAACTGAGGGACATAGACGATTATCGTCGTCTCTCTATTCAACATGGTATGGACATCGTGCCCGAATGCAACGATGAAGATATACATCAATTCGATACCATTCAGCTCAATGCTAAGATAATGGATGTTTTGGAAGATGTAGACTTAGCTTTCGAGGAAGATTATGAAACCGAAAGCCAATGGGATGCTGACGATCATGAGAACTTTATGTTGAGGCGACGATATGGTCAGAGCCTAATGGTAGTGAAGAAATCGCAAGGTTACATTCGATTTTGCTCAAGGACTCAGATCTGCTTTGGGGAGAACCCCGTTAGTTGCTTTGATTCGAATGAGACCGAGTTTGAGAAATTTGCCTTGAAACCAAATTAGTTTAGGTAGATATCACTATGTGCCTCGGCCTAGAGCTGGCCGTCGTGGTGGATGTGCACGGGGCCGTGGTTGACGGGGACATAGCGGTAGAAAAGGGGGTTTCGAGGATCCACACGAGCAAATCTCATTGCACGTGTGTCTCCTCACGGGCTATGGATCGCATAACGGCACTGAGTATTTCGAAATTCTGAATTCGTGGGGAGAGGATTGGTCAGATAATGGGTTCGGTAGGGGTTGTGTAAGATGACATAAATGTTCTTAATGAGTGGTCAACATTAAACATTTAACCACAACATATACACTTATTTACAAAATGCCATTACTTATTTGACTGCCACATTTATATTTGACTTGATCTTGTCCATTGATATTGAATCTAATGATTCAGAGTCATTCTTATTTCATTCAATACCAATCTTTCTCATATGATCCCTTCTCTATACATACATACATACATAAAGGTTTGAATTTAGTTGGATTACATTGTCATTGAATCGAATTTCTGGATAAAAGTATTAAAATGACACATATTTTGAAAAGAATATAATGTAATTGTTGGGTTCTATGAGGAACATCAACGACATGCACAGCATTGAATTTATCGAAATAAATCCTAACGCAGCGGAATCTGTAGTTAAGATTAGGACATTACCTTTTAAAATTTTTGCAGACTCAGAGACGTTTCTGATTTTCTTTGATGAAGATCATCTGGTTAGCACAACTCAATCGGTAGAAGAGTTTGGCTTTTGTCGACTCCAGTCGAGTGTTGAATCACGAATGGATCACCAGAACGAACTTCTCGGGCTCGGGCCGGTTGGACAGGTTCGGATCAGTCTCGGGTCGGGTTGCAGCGGTTCGGGTCGCGGACAGCAGCTAGTCGGGACCGGTTAGCGCGGGTCGCGGATGCTGGCAGATGCGCGTCGAGGCGTGACGCGCGGGTCTAAGTCGCACGCAGTTGCTAGCGCGAGGGGATCGGGCGCGTGCATGTCGCGTATCCTGGGCGCGCGCGGAGTCCTTGGCGAGCAAGGACAGCGGGCGCATATCGGGCAGTCACAGGATCACGCAGGACGCGCTGGGCGCTATTCCTATGCGCAGGAGGACGAGGCCGCGATCACGAGCAGGGACGATCGGCACGGCGTCGCTGGGGCTCGTGGCTGGGACCTGGGCACGAGGTCTGGCTGTGCGCGATTATGGGCAGGGGCTCGCGATAGCGCGCGGCTGGGCTCGGGCGAGGTCTTGGCGGCGGTAGTTTTCCAGGCGGCAGTTTTCCAGCGGTGGTCGACGGCGGCTGGCGGCAATGGTCGGCTGGGGAAGATGACCGGAAAATATGAAGGTTTGGGGTTTGAAATAATATTACCTTAAAGCCTTCTAATGGATTACCTAAACACCTACTTCAATTAATCTTGGTGGTACGATTAATTGAATCTCCCTAACTCTCAAACAAGACAATTTTTCCTCTCTTGTGAAGTAGAAAAATCGGCCCTCAATGATGATGTACAAGAAGTTGGGACATGGTGTATTTATATGCTCCATTAGGGACCTTAAGGAGGTGCCAAATATGGACTTATCCCATTAGACCAAGGAATCCTAATTCTACTCCATAAACTAATCCCTACTAGGTCATGATTCCTTTCTCCTAACATCACCTTCTAGAAGACTCTCTAGTCTCCTAACCCTAGGTAATATTCTAGAAGGAATATTCCCTAAGTTTTGAAATAATAAATATGGAATAAAATTAATTCCTAAAATCTTAATAAAATTAAATAATAATATATTCCACTAGAATATTATTATTGCTCTCCCCATTTGGCTCCAATTTAATCAATTAAATCAAACCCCTACTTGATTAATAAATATTAATCTATTTGACCGATTTACTTCCCCATGTTTAAGATATAACGCCCGTCGATTAATTAAATTACTGATAAGATAATTAATCAACTTCTTATTCATTTCTGAAATTAGTACCACTCAGAACTTTAATCATTGTGTTGGATAAACATCCACCTGCAGGGTTTAACACTATATTCCTTCCTGAGCTCATTTCGGGGATGTCATCAATCCAGCGCACTGGAACACAGTTACCATAAATAATTTATAATAGCTCGCCATATAAACATTCTCATTTACCAAAGTACCGAGTATGTCATCCTAACAAATTAGGAATCACTCTTGATAAATCAAATAAACAAGTAATGAATGTACACGACTATTTTATATTATCTTACAACTTTAGAGAACGCGTCCATCACTGAAGGTATAGATTACAACAACGATCAGTGAGTGTCATAATCTTATCCTTCCGGTGGTCCTATTCAATACTTAACATAAGTACTAGTGTAATTCTCCAGTCAAGATCAACTGAATCAACAATACACTACAGTCTTTTTCCAAGTGGGGTCTCACTGTCAGTCTAGACTGTGAACAAATAATTTAGTCTTACAAGGGACTAATAGGTAACCTTTATGTTCGAGACACCACGAACCACACAATCTCAATGTAAGACATGGAGTATGATTGCATAAATAAATAAACTGCAAGCATATGTACTTTGACTAAAACATGATTTCCAGATCAAAATAGAATATCTAACAATCTCCCACTTATTCTTATTAAGCTCATGGCTATCACTAACCGCAATTTTCTTTCAATCTAATTCTCAAAGACCAGTCTAATATGTCTCCCTAACATCTGACTCCCATTCCTTCTACGTGTCTTGAAAAGACTTTCGCCGGTAGGCTCTTCGTAAAAGGATCTACTAGGTTGTCCTCTGATTGTATCTTGGCAACAACAACTTCCCCTCGTCCAACGATTTCTCGTATCAGGTGGTACTTACGCTCTATGTGTTTACTTACTTTACGAGTTCGTGGCTCCTTCGAATTTACTACTGCTCCGCTGTTATCACAGAACACTGTAATGGCTGCGGGCAAACTCGGAACCACGTCAAGGTCGAGGAGAAAATTCCTGAGCCAAACAGCTTCTTTCGCTGCCTCTGAGGCTGCTACATACTCAGCTTCCATGGTAGAGTCTGCCACGAATTTCTGCTTGACACTCCTCCACACAATGGCTCCTCCTCCTAAAGTAAACACAAACCCTGAGGTTGACTTGCTTTCGTCCCAATCTGCCTGGAAGTCAGAATCGGTGTAACCCAACGAAAGCAATTCATCTGCCTGGTAAGTCAACATGTACTCCTTAGTCCTTCTCAGGTATTTGAGTATATGCTTTACCGCAGACAAATTTTCCGGCCCTGGATTACTCTGATATCTTGCTACCATGCCTAATGCATAACAGATATCAGGTCGCGTACACAACATTGCATACATGAGGCTTCCTACCGTTGATGCCTAAGGAACTGCCTTCATGTCCTCTATCTCTTGAGGAGTCTTCGGGGACTTCTTCTTAGATAGAGCGATTTCATGTCGGAAGGGCAAATCCCCTTTCTTTGAATCATGCATGTTGAAACGCTTTAGGACAATATCTATGTATGTAGATTGGGATAGGCACAATTTTCTCTTATCTCGGTCCCGAATGACCTTGATACCGAGAATATGTCCTACTTCTCCCCATTCTTTCATATCAAAATGCTTGGATAACCATACCTTTACGTTTGATAACATTTTCACACTGTTTCCAATGAGAAGAATATCATCTACGTATAGCACTAGAAACACTACCACGTTTCCTTCACTTTTCTTGTACACACAGTGCTCATCCGGACATTGGGTAAATCCATACGATTGGACAACCTCGTCAAAATGGATGTTCTAAGACCTCGAAGCCTGCTTTAGTCCAAAAATGGACCTTTTCAACTTACAGACCAGATGCTCTTGTCCCTTTGCAATGAATCCTTCTGGTTGCTGCATATAGATGTCCTCGTCTAAATTCCCGTTAAGGAAAGTAGTCTTAACATCCATTTGCCAAATCTCATAATCTATGTGAGCGGCTACAACCAAGAAAATCCTGATGGATTTCAGCATAGCTACCGGTGAAAAAGTTTCCTCATAATCGATCCCTTCTTTCTTAGTATACCCTTTCGCAACAAGCCTAGCTTTGAAGGTTTCAACCTTTCCATCTGCTCCTCTCTTTCTCTTATTGACCCACTTGCATCCAATGGCATGCACGACACTGGGTGGTTCTACAAGATCCCAGACCTGATTGGAATCCATAGAATCCATCTCAGACTTCATCGCCTTTTGCCAAGACTCTGTGTCCCAATCTTGGAGTGCCTCATTGTATGTCCATGGATCAATTTCAAGAACATCCGGGACGGCCTCAGAAGACTCTCCCAAACCCATGAATCGTTCGGGCTGCCGGACAACCCTCCCACTACGACGAGGTACTACCTGCTCAGGTGCATCATCGGCGATACGTGTTGCAGTATTTTGTGCTGTAACATCTAGTGCACTCGGTATTGAAGTACTCACTCCCTTTACCTCCTCAAGGATGTGTCTACTACTGGGCTTATGATCTAAAACATAGTCTTCTTCCAAGAACCTAGCATTCGTCCTAACGATTACTTTCTGGTCCTCGGGACTATAAAATAGACCACCTTTTTGTTTCCTTAGGATATCCCACAAACAGCCTTACTTTTGTTCTAGGTTCCAAGTTATCAGTATCGGTTCTCAGCACATGTGCTGGACTAACCAAAATCCTGAAATGTCTTAGACTAGGCTTGCGCCCAAACCACAACTCCAATGGTGTAGACGGTACTGATTTAGAAGGTACCCTATTCAGAACATAAACTGTTGTTTCTAGGGCATACCCCTAAAACGAATCGGTTAATGTACTATAACTCATCATTGCCCTAACCATCTCCATAAGAGTCATATTCCTTCGTTCTGCTACGCCACTCTGCTGGGGAGTACCCAGCGCAGTTAGCTGAGAAATAATCCCATTATCCGTTAAGAAGTCCCTAAATTCATTCGAGAGATATTCGCCACCACGATCAGATCGTAATGACTTGATACTTTTTCCTAACTGCTTCTCCACAACCGCCTTATACTCTAAGAATTTCTCAAAGCATTCAGACTTGCTATAATAGCCAGTTCTATATTAATAAAAATGACAGTTTTTAGTTCCAAGTTGAACTATTTCTTTTTATTAATACTGCTCGTCTTGAGTTTCGAGCCCAGT